CCCCCTACCGATCACTCTCTATACCCCTCACCCCCTACCGATCCCTCTCTATACTCGCCCCCTACCGATCACTCTCTATACCCCTCACCCCCTACCGATCCCTCTCTATACTCGCCCCCTACCGATCACTCTCTATACCCCTCACCCCCTACCGATCCCTCTCTATATCCCCTCACCCCCTACCGATCCCTCTCTATATCCCCTCACCCCCTACCGATCCCTCTCTATATCCCCTCACCCCCTACCGATCCCTCTCTATATCCCCTCACCCCCTACCGATCCCTCTCTATATCCCCTCACCCCCTACCGATCCCTCTCTATATCCCCTCACCCCCTACCGATCCCTCTCTATATCCCCTCACCCCCTACCGATCCCTCTCTATATCCCCTCACCCCCTACCGATCCCTCTCTATATCCCCTCACCCCCTACCGATCCCTCTCTATATCCCCTCACCCCCTACCGATCCCTCTCTATATCCCCTCACCCCCTACCGATCCCTCTCTATATCCCCTCACCCCCTACCGATCCCTCTCTATATCCCCTCACCCCCTACCGATCCCTCTCTATATCCCCTCACCCCCTACCGATCCCTCTCTATATCCCCTCACCCCCTACCGATCCCTCTCTATATCCCCTCACCCCCTACCGATCCCTCTCTATATCCCCTCACCCCCTACCGATCCCTCTCTATATCCCCTCACCCCCTACCGATCCCTCTCTATATCCCCTCACCCCCTACCGATCCCTCTCTATATCCCCTCACCCCCTACCGATCCCTCTCTATATCCCCTCACCCCCTACCGATCCCTCTCTATATCCCCTCACCCCCTACCGATCCCTCTCTATATCCCCTCACCCCCTACCGATCCCTCTCTATATCCCCTCACCCCCTACCGATCCCTCTCTATATCCCCTCACCCCCTACCGATCCCTCTCTATATCCCCTCACCCCCTACCGATCCCTCTCTATATCCCCTCACCCCCTACCGATCCCTCTCTATATCCCCTCACCCCCTACCGATCCCTCTCTATATCCCCTCACCCCCTACCGATCCCTCTCTATATCCCCTCACCCCCTACCGATCCCTCTCTATATCCCCTCACCCCCTACCGATCCCTCTCTATATCCCCTCACCCCCTACCGATCCCTCTCTATATCCCCTCACCCCCTACCGATCCCTCTCTATATCCCCTCACCCCCTACCGATCCCTCTCTATATCCCCTCACCCCCTACCGATCCCTCTCTATATCCCCTCACCCCCTACCGATCCCTCTCTATATCCCCTCACCCCCTACCGATCCCTCTCTATATCCCCTCACCCCCTACCGATCCCTCTCTATATCCCCTCACCCCCTACCGATCCCTCTCTATATCCCCTCACCCCCTACCGATCCCTCTCTATATCCCCTCACCCCCTACCGATCCCTCTCTATATCCCCTCACCCCCTACCGATCCCTCTCTATATCCCCTCACCCCCTACCGATCCCTCTCTATATCCCCTCACCCCCTACCGATCCCTCTCTATATCCCCTCACCCCCTACCGATCCCTCTCTATATCCCCTCACCCCCTACCGATCCCTCTCTATATCCCCTCACCCCCTACCGATCCCTCTCTATATCCCCTCACCCCCTACCGATCCCTCTCTATATCCCCTCACCCCCTACCGATCCCTCTCTATATCCCCTCACCCCCTACCGATCCCTCTCTATATCCCCTCACCCCCTACCGATCCCTCTCTATATCCCCTCACCCCCTACCGATCCCTCTCTATATCCCCTCACCCCCTACCGATCCCTCTCTATATCCCCTCACCCCCTACCGATCCCTCTCTATATCCCCTCACCCCCTACCGATCCCTCTCTATATCCCCTCACCCCCTACCGATCCCTCTCTATATCCCCTCACCCCCTACCGATCCCTCTCTATATCCCCTCACCCCCTACCGATCCCTCTCTATATCCCCTCACCCCCTACCGATCCCTCTCTATATCCCCTCACCCCCTACCGATCCCTCTCTATATCCCCTCACCCCCTACCGATCCCTCTCTATATCCCCTCACCCCCTACCGATCCCTCTCTATATCCCCTCACCCCCTACCGATCCCTCTCTATATCCCCTCACCCCCTACCGATCCCTCTCTATATCCCCTCACCCCCTACCGATCCCTCTCTATATCCCCTCACCCCCTACCGATCCCTCTCTATATCCCCTCACCCCCTACCGATCACTCTCTATACCCTTGACTACCCTGTAATATTGTACTCTCCCAGGTATGCTGGGACCTGAGTGCTGGCAGGTAAGGCCGGGTGTCCATCGATGTCTCTCACATTTACACTACAACTCCCACAATCCATTGGGGGCTCTGCTGATATTATGGGATATCTCATTCCCTCTACGCTGCTGTGCTCTCCCTTATACCCCCAACCCAGCTTTGCCCCATGGGCGTCCCTCCCATACCCAGCTGTATGCACTCTGTACTGCATCCCCCCC